ACTTTGCGAGCTTATGTAACCCGATTCTAAATTAGCCAATTGTGGCTTCTAAACTTGTTTTCAGCATCCATAGACGCATGCATCGTGATCAGCGTGATCTAGACTACCTAAGAGCATCATGATTGTATTTTATCACACCTTGATTCAAGGTGGAAAGCCACCAAATGTGCACGAGGTGAGCGAGACTGGTTCTGCGCTACTGTAGCTAATATAGACAGAGCAAAGCTCAAGATAAATAATGGATTGTGGCCTCTGCAATTTTTTTCAGCGTTCATCGACTAATGTATCATATTCAGCGTTCTTCAAACTACCTACGGGCATCGTGTTTGTATTTTATGAGACATGGATTCGAGGTGGAATGACAGGTTTCCGACATCCTTTGCGCTACTATAGACAGAGCCCGGTTTAAGAGGATGATGCAATCTCAGGATAGACCTGTTAAACCGAGCACTCCTCGGCTATCAGGTCCTCTGTGGCTCAGTCGAACGACTGCTGGGGTACGATTAAGGTACAGAGTTGTGCATCTCTGTTACCGAGGTTCGAAGCCTGTCGTTCGAAAAAAAACAACCATGGAGCTCTCAAGGAGAGAGCAGTCGACCACAACCACACAGGAGAAATACCAGCGCACCACAAACATCATCAGACCAGGGACCTGGCGGGTCTCTGGTCAAAACACAAATTTCTCCCTCCGTAAGTTGTGGCCACAGAGGGCTTTTGCTATGTTTTTATTTGAAGAGGCACATCGGAGGATGTCTCTCGCTATTATTTTAATTCCCACAAATAAGCCTCTAAGCCGCATTTGCGGCAGTACCCCCACTGTACTACTACTTCTTGCCATAATACCATTTCAGGAAGACAGATTATCAGACTTGAGATATCGTCAAATTAATGAGCATTGGTTAGTTAGTTTGGAACTGGGAGCTGAGCACTAAGCTCCTAGTTAAACATAGCTCACAATAAAACGTTGTGGACCCGCAGACGGACTTGTGTTGTCACTTTGAGGTATATCCGCCAACACACAACAACCAACACCTACTACAACATAGTAGTAGACAACCTGAAACGTCTACGGACTAGTGTTGCTACGGCAGATATATGACTAAAAGTTGATTCTTCTCAATGTCCAGGCGTTTATAGTGTAACCTAGCAAACGCCTTTCCAGGTTCCGAGGCCACCAACTTGCCAATTAGTGATGCTAGCTGACAAATGGTCACAGTTTTCTTTGTGAGCATTTCTCTACATAGTGTCCTGATTTTACACGTCTTCTCCTCCGTGAGACTGACAGTCATGGACCTAGAATCCAGAACATATCCCAAATATGTAATCACTTGTTTTGGGACTAATTGTGATTTCTCTGGGTGGATGGTAAAGCCAAGGGAATCAAGCAGTTTTGTGGTAGCTTTGACATTAGCTTGACACTGTGATTTCAAGTCTCCTTTGAGTATACTGTCATCTAAACATCCTGATATTGTGGGCCCTTCTTTATGAAGTTCTGACAAGACCACTTTAACTATCTTCGTGAATATATGAGGAGCAGAACTAAGTCCATTTGGCAGGCACGTGAACTGATAAAGGACACCATCCCAAAAGAATTTCACGAATTTCCTGGAACTTTCATGCAACGGTATGGTGAAATAATATAATAACATGGGGCGCGGTGGGCGAGCTGGCTAAGGCGTCAGGCTAGTGATCCAGCGAGGTTGAGATGTCGGGATCGAGCCCACCTGTGACCGGGTGTAGAAACCTTGGAGTCAACTTTGTGTGCAGACTCTTTCAGTGTTGTCACAACCCCTAGTGTACAGTACACAACCCTGTGCACTTAAAAGAACCCACGAATCTGTTGGTATATGACCAGATGGTGGCCACATGAATATGTGCAAACACCTAGTTGCGGGTACAGCAACGTGCAGTAAACTTGGACAAAGTACTGTGACTGTGTCCCAGTCCACCCAGCTGTGAATGGGTACCTCGTTAGGATGAGAAAGCCACAATAACTCAGTGCACCTAGTGGCTGCAAGAGTTGTATACTTCCCAGGGAGTTGAGATTGATAACACGTTGTGCCGTTGAGATTGACATCCAATGATCGAGGGGAAAAGTACCAGCGCCTTGAGCAAGCACTAGTTGCCGGGATATGTGTGCTATAGAAATATTGTATATTATATATTAAATAAGCTTCCTTTGAATCGACACTAGCGAAAAAACATTTGGTTTCATAAAGTTAATGGCTGACTTAATAGTATCCATTTTAAATTTGATCTTGTCCACATGTTTGTTCAGCACAGTGAGATCTAATATAATCCGGATACTGCCATGTCTTTTGTCCCTACAAAAAAAGTTTGACACAAACTGATCAACACAGGACTCAATCGTTTCGATGATACCTCTTCTGAGCATGTCAGTGATTTTATTACTGATATCCAATTGTTCACTTTTGCTACAATTAAGCCCTTTCGGTGGTTGGGATTGGCATGGTTTGTGTTCAAATTCAAGTTTATAACCTTCACTGACAGTGTATAATATGTACTGGTCAGAAGTAATTGCTTTCCATTTGGTTAAACTCAAGCTTGTGCCACCCACCATGCACTTATCAACAGTGTGAATAAAATTGAAATTGTCGTTTCTCAATTCGTCATCCTTGTCCTCAGAGCAGTCTAAAACTTGCTCTGATGATGTTGATAACCTCTCTTTTTCTTGAATGGAGGTCGCTCGCTTTGGGGTAAAAAACGATCCAGTTCAACGTATCGCTGGTGTTACCGTTCCTTGTAGTGAGGTTGTATCCCACTCCGTTGTGGTTTCCATGACGACGAACTTCTTACTCTGCCAGATCCTTGTAGTGAGGTTGTTTCCCACCCCGTTGTGGTTTCCATGACGACGAACTTCGTACTCTGCCAGAGTCTGTGAGTTTCCCAGCTAGTGTTTTTGCTTCCGACAGTTCTTTTATCTGTTTTCCCAGGTCCTCCCCAAACAACAGATCTGTGACTGGGTTTGCGTGGTCACACAAATGTTTGTAAGTCACACTTAAGTCCTGGCAGAATTTGTCCTTTCTATGGTTTGTCAGCCGTACAAAGGCACCAGTCATAAGCTTTAATGAATCTGATGCCTTTTTGTCCAAACTTTTCAGACTGACATTGTTGGTCTTGTCTTTCGAAGCTGCCATAACTTCATTTGTCAGTTCTAACAACGGACAAATTGCCTTTGACAGAAGCCCTTGAAGTTTTTGTAGTTTGACGTCATTGGACCGTGTTTATGGTTTGACTTCACGCCACATTGGCGTATTCACTTTGGGAACTGTCAGACTAGGGCAGTTTTCGGGTTTCCGATACTTGTCTCCCGTGGCTTTCAGGGAGTCTTGATTTTGTTCCGCTCTAAGCCCTTCATTAACTGCTGTAGCCAGGACCCCATTCACTTTGGGTCCCAACTTGTCATCTGATTTGAAAATATCACCCAGTTCTGCAATAACATTTGCAACGGCACCATCACTCTCTTCGTCCTCGTCACTTGTGCCAATTTCCCCCATTATGTCGAGGTAAGGATCTCGATCCGCACAGTCATCTGGCTTGCTGTCTGATTTTACCCTGTTTTCCTCTCGACTCCGCCGTTTACCAAAATCACTGATATCGCTAGCTTTCCGCTTGAGTGAGCTGCTCCTCTGCGGGTCACGACAGGATCCTGCCTCCTGCTCGTCTCGCACTACTTGGCTTGGAGTATAGGCACTTCGGCCCCTGTTCTCTCCATTTTGGTAAGTTTTTCTGCCAAGGATGTAAGTGTTTGTGCCTGTTGCTGCTGCACAGCTAGGACTTTGGCAAGAATGGTATTAGCGTCAGGAGCGGCACTTGTGCCCTGAATCTCCTCGCCTACCTCATGTTCCACAGTGTCCCCTTCTGACGCCATCTTGGCCTGTGGCGCTCGGAGACAGTTCGGTCGAGTGAGACTTCTGATAAAAACAATGGCTATTCGTGGCAGGATCATGAAAAGGAATGGTTAATCCAAACTTGGAATCTTGAAGTAAAACACACTATTACTCCCTCATCCAAGCACTTCCGTATGAAGAATCCAAAGCAAGTAAGAATCACGAGAAAATGAAAAAAACGTCAAGACATAACTAAGAACATATTCGCTACTGACTAGTATGCATGCGCGCCTCTCACGTAACCCCTAAGTCAGGAAGATGGTTCATGGAATTACTATCAAACTTCACCTTACAGGTAAGTCTCGTTTAATTGTGTGATTATAAATCCTACACTGACGTCCTAGTGAACTTTAAGCTCTTCTGAGGAAGTTCTCAAAGATTATCCTTTGCAGTACAAGTGCACATATTAACCCTGTACAAATAAAAGAATGAGGTAGCACAAAGACCATGGAGCCCCCATCATTACTCACAACTATTTTAGATGTTATATCACAAGGGTATGTATATCTTCCAGTAATTACATCTTACAACAAATATGAAACAATGGTGCATGCTTCATCAGAAGTGGTAAGATTTATAGATCATTTAAAAATGCCATACTTTTGAAAAGTATGCTATGTTAGATGTCACAAACACTTCTGAAAGAACTTTAAGGCCTATATATAACCCTACATTAGAAACAAATGAATTTGTACACTGTATGTACATGCAATCTAAACTATTTTTTGTTATCCAAAATTGATTGTTATGTGTTATTTCTAAAGTAAAGACAAAACTTTAATTTACAAAGTGAAAGTGATACATGTATAATCATGTTCCTTGCTCAAACAACTATATATATGTTTGAAAGATTCCGTTTTCTTAATCATTCTTGTTTGATATAATTCCAGTAACCTGTCGCATGTGATACAATGTAAGGATAAACAAAAAAAACCCCAAATATATCATATCGACGTGCATTTGGCCAAAATACAAAATAACGTCTTACCTGTCATTGGAGAGACTGGGAAACTACAGATGGGGAATTCCCCTATCAGGAATACACGAGACGCTGCGTGATCTCAACGAAGGGCAAGGCCGTAGGTGAAATGTATATACGGTGATGTTTGACCTAACAGTAACACTACATCTTCCATTGTTTTGCTGGTTAATCATAATGACATTTTGGTGATACATATATAATGGACCATCAAAGTGAAGGAGATGGAAATACTGTAAGAAAGTTTTCATTTAGTACGTCTGTCTGTCAAGTCTTATTTCTAGAGAGAGTTGTCCAGTATTCGATCACATTGTTTTGTTAACCGTTCCGATTTGTTGTCGCAAATGTGGTTTGATAGAACTGTTTTAAGTGCATGTCATTTACTGTTCAGTAATGTTTTTGTACTCGTGACTGTATATTGCAGTTCATTTCACTGACGTGATATAATATCGATGAACAGTCAGTAGCTACTCAGCCTACTGAAAGTATGTTCAGTACTTTTGTCTCTTGCAAGGTCTAGAGTTCATAATGTGAAAACAATCCAGTAAGATTTCCGCCAGTATCCCCCTTATATTTCATTCTGGTCAAATCATATCACCTGAAATAAATATTCCTCATCTGATAAAAACGGTAAGGTGAAAATAAAAACGTAACCAGTAGAGGAAGTAACGTGTATGCGAGACGGTCCCCCGTTACGCGTACAAGGGACTACCTGAGAGGGGGGTCACTCATTCGCGTGACTGCCTGATCACAGACAGGGAACTTCTGCATGTCACACAAAAACGCGTCTAAAGTGTTAATTATGAAGATAATGAAACAAAATTTGCTACAGACATTGATAGGTGTTAAAGTTATTGATTGACATGAATGAAAACGTAGAAAGAAAACATTAGATAGTCAAATTTTGACAAAAATTTAAGCAAAATTTGATGATATTAAACAGCGAATTTCACCAATGTGCATATTTTTCAGAAACTTACATTTAGTATTTTCTGAAAGCTCTTTCATCGCAGATTCAAAATATATATGCAGCTTTCGAGGCACACCAACGCACACCCGTTTGTTATTGTGTTGAAACATGTTTACTTTCTTAAAAACTGCGCAAACCGTCGCGCGTAGAAGTGACTGGGGAAGCGAGTCATTAAGGGGTAAGGGTAACAATTCAGACAGTAGAGAAAGACTACTGTCAGTATAACCCTTAAATCAAATCATATTACCTGAATACATATCTATACAAAGATATATAAGTAATGAAAAGTACCTTATAAAATAGGCAGGGGAGTACATGAGGAACTCTTTCCCTTCTTATCCCCCCGGCATGTAATGCGGAGGGATATAGTTGTCGCCTCGTCCGTCCGTAATCATTTTGTTTCCCGAGCATAACTCAAAGACCGTTCGATATTTTTCAACAAAAATGGGTAGATATATCAAACAGATGCTAAAGTTGTGCCTTTTGCTATTTGCAGATTTTTGGCATATTTATTTTTCCTGGATTCCATGGAAACGATTCGGATTTAGTCCCAAAAGTGAGGGGTGGGCTTCGTTTCCGGAACATAACTTATAAGAACCGTTCAAATTGCAACTGGTCTTTGTCACCAATGCCAACTGTCTAGATAAAATAAGACGAAACATATTGGGTGTGAAAACGAACGCTGTTCTCGAAAGACTACGCTGCTTCGAAATGTAAACAAAGGCAAAAACCTATTTTACACTATGTAGCATTTTCTGAAATTTTTCAACATTCATCCGTCTATTCATTGCTTGCAATGGCTCAATACCTTTGGAATGTGCATGGAAAGAGTATCGTAGCAAGAAATAGGAAATTATAAATAGATACAATGCAATGATTTGATAATTCATAAGAAATTGTCAAAGTTTCCGTGCAGCGTGATGCCATGACTGATGCAAAATCACGCAGAACGACAACTGTAAGCATCAGCATTTTTGGCTTCTTCTCTTACTTACATTAAAAACGATAAAAACATATAACAATACACAGATAGTCAGAATCATTCTGATTACTTACATCTCATATTTATGTACAAATGATCCCTGAATCAATGGAAGGGTCCTCGAAAAATCCTGTGTATCCTTGTCAGCAAAGCCGCCATTTTGTAAGAAATAGGTCATCGGTAGTGATGTCATACGTCAACATTGTTGTACATATTAGGCAATTTCTTTGAGGTGAAGGTCGGTTGAACAAGAGTTAACACAATCGCCCAATCCTTCCGATTACACTGTCAGTATTATGGTGTATATTTTGCAGATAGTTCAGACACTTTTTCATGAAACTGACTTCAGTATCTACATTTAGCCTTGTTCAATATCATATCATACGTGCATATAGGGTTTACGGTGTTTTATTCTTTGAAAGTTTTTGATTGTTTGAATAATATTTACATAAGAAATTGACACATGTAGTGCAGTACACCATATTCTAAACCTTTACACAAGTGTTAGAAGATCAAACGTAGCCATAACTGCAACTACTTTAGTTCCTATGATGAACAATATTCAATGCATTTGAACTAATATTGCAGTTTCACATGAACAGGTTAATGAACGGCGTTTTAATTCAACCTTATAAGTAAAACTGATAATATTTAATGAACATGATTTATATATGTTATGAAATGTATATGCACACACATTTAAAGGAATTGTCTTGTTCTTTGCACATTTTTGTGTCGTTTTATAGAGAAAACAATGGTGTAAATTTATTGGCCAGGTGCGCGTTTGTCAGAAACGTTTTATGATCCACTATCATTGTTTTCGATAATATAATCAATTCATATTCGATTTAAAAATATTGTGATGACAGGATATCAAACTCTAACTATATTTATACGAAAAAAAATTAAAAATATATAAACCATGTCATGTCTTAATTTGGACAAATCTTACATCCATATTCTAACATATAGTACGTACTTTCTTCGCTAACACTTTCCGAAAAGATGCCAAAATAAGAAAATAATAGCACAGTGCTTTTATTGGTGCGCGATAAAAAGCGGAGAAATTTACTGTTTTTTAACGGATAACAACAATTTGGACAACATTTAGCAAGGTCGAATTTCTCAAACCGCCGATGTAGTTGCACTTATAATTATACCAACGGATTGGAAATTTAATAATCTACATTTCTGTGTAATTTTATAGCCGTACGTAGATCCAGGACCTCGTGAGCGCAATTCTCGCTCAACGTTCACTTTCCAAAAAGTATGAAAATGTTCGCCTGAAAAAAACCTCGGCATTAAGGGGGTTAAGCCCGAGAGCCACCTCACTACTCAACACCTGGAACCCCTCGCTGATTGCCCACTCGCTGTGCCGAGACTAATTAGTGAAAATCACACCTGATTTCCATGGCAGGTTTCAGGGATGCCAGGAAACTGTCTAGTCGTACATAGAAGTCCTGATTGTTTAATTGTGTCGTAAAGATATATGTTGAAAGAGAGCAGGTGTGAATACACATCGTGTAATGCAAAGTTTTATGTAATTTGATTGCAAGTTTCTCTTATAGACCTTTGGCGGCTTGTACATTTATATTTTATCAACATACACATGTATTCTTTGTATGTAAGAGATGAGACACACATAAACAAATTCTCTCTCTCATATCATTGTGTAAGGTTTAATTTTACAAAACATCTATGACAATGACATATTGTAAAGAGGATTTACTTACATACTTTATAATCTTTGACGAAAATAGCGTTTTTGCTGAGTGCATACGAATTATTTTAATGAAAGTACTATTACGCTAGTCTGTGACTAACATAGAGCACATTCATAGCCTGGCACTTTGTTTCATCTAGATTTAATGCAGAAAACATAGGTGACCATACAAACATACATATAAAAGAATGTATAGTACATATTCCTTGCATAGACATAAAACAAAGAGTCACGTGATAGGGCGTCATCAAATTTCCCGAATAGAACGTTCGGTATCTCAACTGTTCAATATAGTGGCTGGTCATATGTTATCTGTGACCACTCGCATCATGAGATACCTGTCACAGAGGAAAAGACAGGTGATGGGGCGTGGGCGAAATTTCTGAAGAGCACGTTTGGTCACTCAACAGCTTGGATAGAGATTGATTATTGGCTATATCGCTGACCAGTCGATATGCTGGGTTTCGGCATTATCAACTCAAGCTATCATGTAACAGTTTGTGTATTGTTAACACACACACTGGTAACGATGTATGAAATATACACATAAGACAAATAGGAGTAGATAGTCACTTTGGCGAGTTTATTTGTCCTCATTTTAGTGTTTTTCTATAAGTAAAAAAAAGCGCGTGAAATCCAACCAGTGAGTAGAGATTGATTTATTTTCATATACACTTTACGCACACAACTAGTACATAAAACATAATGATTTGCTGTACATGTAAATATAATCTTCACCTTGATACGAATGTACAAACTAAAGTACATGTATTACAGAATTCACGAAATGACACTATACTGAATTATTATAGTGTATAAACTTGCAGTTGACAAATCCACCCCACCCCCAACCCCCAATATTTATGAAGGTGCCTATATTTATGCTGAATGCAAACGAGGTTCATAAGATTACAGATGTGCATGCATGCATAAACATTACAGAGAGGGGCGTGACTCCATAAAGCAAGTTGTCCAATGATATAACAGCGCATCTGTTTATTTTACGCTTGTCACGGGACAGACCTTTCAACAAGGATGTAACTATATATGCATTTTACCGGTAGCTGTTGTTTCAAGGCCGTAAGAGGTGTTCAATTATCTCATTACTGTAATCTGATTGAATGATTACACGCATGTGTATCAGTACTGTAACTGATATACTATCCAGCTTTTATTGACGATGGGTCAATAGAGACTGAGTTCATTGATACACGTGATAATTACACTGGATTTGATAATTACAGAGATCAAATACAAATGTTTTACACAATGCTCATGTAAATTGCATAGAAAACTGACAATTCAAATCAACATGAAACTTTCAACAGCTTGAACAAAAATGCTTGAAATACCTTTGTATTGTTTACATGTAATAACTTATAATATTACTTCTGCCCCCTGGTGAGAATGTTTTGAATTACCAACTTACTGTGTTTTATATCAAACGTAGTAAAAGATTTCATTGTAATAACATTGACATGTATATATATTCGATGCAAAGGCGCGACTTATCACTTTATATTCGATTAGGTAACATTGTCAACTTTAGATTATGGAAAATAACTAGTTACAATTCAGTAAGCTTTAAATTAGTAAGTTAAATTATGTCTACTCTATTCGAGCTTGGATGTATAATTATTTGTGTTTATACATTATGTTTCAGTATATGAAACATAACAACGTAATAATACCTAAAAAGTAAATTCAAACTATTCTATTGTGTTTGAATTCTTTGTATGTCCTTGAAATTTCGTATATTGTTTCCTATTACTAGGAAGTTAATATAATCTTCAGTGACCTCTAAACCATTACATCTAATTCAATTAATGTGCATACGGAGTATTTTAGTATCCATTCCCAATAAGGAGTACCAGACACTTAGCTTTATAAAAACATCATAATCCCCTTTCTCGCCGACATGTGTTCATTAGCCAAACGCTGTACAAGCTTATGATAAGGATTAGCAATTGCTATCAAAACAATTTAAATCCTTCTTCTGATTGACACTAAGGTAGCATCTCTCGTAAGAAAAGCTAATATTTGCGCAGTAGTACTAAATTGGTTGAAATAATAGGTACAGTGCGATTTTTAAAAGTACAACACACATGTGCATCTCTCGCTGAATAAGAGGTGCTTTCTGTTGACGTATATATGTGGCTCTCGCTGTGAGAAACTGCCAATTACCTGCCCCATAAACACGTCACTCGCTGTGAGGAGCTGATTAATTTGCCCCATATACGCGGCTCTCGGCCTTAATGAGTTAAAGTCGGGGTGGGCTTCGTTTTCGGAGCATAACTCAAAAACCGTTCAATATTTTTCAACAAAACTTGGTACATATATCAAACAGAACCTTAAGTGGTGCCTTTTGCTATTTGCAGATTTTTGGCATTTCTATTTTTCCCGATTTCCATGGAAACGATTCGGACTTAGTCCCAAAAGTGAGGGGTGGGCTTCGTTTCCGGAGCACAACTCGAAAACTTCTCAAAATCTTTCAGCAAAACTTGGCAGATATGTGAGGCAGATCCCAAAGTGGTGCCTTTTGCTATTTGCAGATTTTTGTGATTTACTATTTTCTTGGTTTCCATGGAAATGATTCAGACTTAGTCTCAAAAGGAAGGGGTGGGTTTTGTTTCCGGAGCACAACGCGAAAGCTGCTTAATATCTTTCAGCAAAACTTGGCAGATATGTGAGGCAGATCCCAAAGTGGTGCCTTTTGCTATTTGCAGATTTTTGTCATTTTTATTTTTCTCGGTTTCTATGGAAACGATTCAGACTTAGTCGCAAAAGGGCAGGGTAGGTTTCGTTACCGGAGCACAACTTTAAAACTTCTTAATATCTGTCAGTAAAATTTGGCAGATATGTGAGGCAGATCTTATTTTTTTCATCAATTCCATGGAAACGACTTTAAGTAACTGTCAGATGATTTGATCTTTCAAAGATGTGGGGGCCGGGGATATGTCATCTTCTGATGACTCTTGTTTCTCATCGTTAGAATTAAGGGGGAGGGGGGGGGGAGTCTTACAGTGCTGACCTGCCGCTAATATGTTGTAAAGTTGTTTTTGATAAATTCAAGTTTCAGTAACCTTACACTTTAGAAGATGCAATTATTTATATAGAATTATTGTTTTCTGTATTTGATTTTGAATACAACTGATACTTTATTGTTGCATTTGTGCCCAGACAAGGCATTTTAAACATTGAAAACAACATTTTATGCTGTGTGATAATAACCATAATATTCTGTTCTGAGCCAACTTTGCTATCAATATCAGACAGAAGTTGAACTTACATGAAAATGAGCTTAACAACTCAATAACTTTATGTCCAGTTTAATACCCATCAATTAAAAAAATGGCATTATCATATTGACAATGGGTTGAATATCAAACCTTCAATTTGCTGGAAGTTCATATTGATAATTACAGCATTTACATTCAAATCCATTGTCATCTTCTTATCAATTCCAGGTTTTGGATGCTCGTGATGTGTATGTGTTAATGAGGCGTGGATGCCGGATTTCCAGAAATATCCGAGCATCATGGTACTTTCAGCATCTCAACTCTGTCATCCCGTTCACACCCCAGGAACATGTGGTGAGTTTAGAATGTTCAAAATCTCAACTCTCTCCTCCTAGTAAGTCATAATTATGATCATTGAAAATATTTTTGTGATGAAAATTACATTAATTCCTTTATTTTGTTGATTCAGGGGGAGTCAGAAGAAGAGTTATCTATCTTGTCAGTGGTGCCACCAGATGGTCAGCCACCACTTCGGCCAGGCCAAACCTGCAGTGTGTGTATCACCCCACAGACCATTGTGACCTTCCTGGCCTCTCGATACCGCCTGGCCTTCACCCTTGACCTTAGCCCTTCAATCATGTCTGTGGTAAGCTGTTAATGTCTGATTCTAATTCTGTTCCTCTGTTTTGTTGTCCTAGTTGCATTTGTTATTATTTATTGAGTGAGTAAGGAAATGTTAAAAACATTTAATATCTACCAGTAATTTTTTTGTCAAAATAACTATATAGCACCCCTTGTTTGTTCTATCTCTGAACAAAGGTGAGTTTCTGTATCTGTGGTAGTCTGTTTTTCTATTGTAATTTAGTTCCTTCAGTTTTGTCCAGTTAGAGACCAACAGTTGGATAATCTGTTGAAGGCTTGTGATTTTTTAAAACAATATTTTATTCCATTAAATACTGAAAAAGTAAGTACACACAAACATATGTTAGCTGGAGATGACATGACAAATATGTGTTGTCAACAAATATGGTTGTTGGGTGCATCCTTTCATTGCGAGGAGATCTCTTGAATCAGTGGCCATAACAATTTTCTGCCTCCAACAACAACCTCAGCACCTACCTCAGAATATTGAATTTTGATAATAACCAACCACTGGGTGTCGGCACATATTGTGTCTCCTTGGATGCTGTTATGTACATCAAATGGAAGTTAATGTAAACTGTGTGTATTTTGTAGAATATCTGCGACGGCTTGGTTGTGAATGATGAGTTAATGCTAACCCTTAGCAATTGTCTACATGGCCTTGTCAAACCGGTAAGTGGTTACATGGAGAAGAAACTTGTATAAGGATATGTAGGAGTTAAATGGGTTTGTACACCACAACAGCGGGTTCTGTGTGTACAGGAGAGAAACTCTATGAATGAATTGTCATCATACCCAATATTGTGGGATGTTACTCACAGTATCAACCGCTGGTTTGTCTGTCTGTGGCTTTCTTACAGTCTGACAAGATATAAGCTGTGTTGAGTTGTATTATCACTCAGATGTATGGGATGTATTGTGAGTGTGTGTTAAATTGATCTCCAATGCACATTTCACAGTTGTGATATTTTGCAATTGAATATTGTATCTTGATATGTTATCAACGCTGTGTGAAGTTGTTGATGAATATCATATACCTGTATATTGATGTATATTATGTAAATGTTGTACCTCTATTGCCACCGCTAACGGCCTGAGTGTGTATAAAGTTTTGTTCAGTTCAGTTAGGGTTATGATGGGATATGCTCCACTATCTTTTACCCTTGTCGCATCCATGTAAAGATGTGTATAATGTATACAATTTTCTATGTCTTATTTGGATCTAAACAACTTGACTGGTGTACATTATGATTTTTACTGTTTTGAGCCCTAGGCATCAGTACGGTGTTAACCTCTAGGGCTTGCACAGTTTCAGATTCCAGGGAGCAGTATAGTGTTAACTACTGAGGTGTTCAGAATCTAGATGATCTTTAACTAACCTCTAGTGCTTGCACAGTTTCAGATTCCAGGGGGCAGTGTTGTGTTAACTACTGAGGTGTTCAGAATCTAGATGATCTTTAACTAACCTCTAGTGCTTGCACAGTTTCAGATTCCAGGGAGCAGTGTTGTGTTAACTACTGAGGTGTTCAGAATCTAGATGATCTTTAACTAACCTCTAGTGCTTGCACAGTTTCAGATTCCAGGGAGCAGTATTGTGTTAACTACTGAGGTGTTCAGAATCTAGATGATCTTTAACTAACCTCTAGTGCTTGCACAGTTTCAGATTCCAGGGAGCAGTATAGTGTTAACTACTGAGGTGTTCAGAATCTAGATGATCTTTAACTAACCTCTAGTGCTTGCACAGTTTCAGATTCCAGGGAGCAGTATTGTGTTAACTACTGAGGTGTTCAGAATCTAGATGATCTTTAACTAACCTCTAGTGCTTGCACAGTTTCAGATTCCAGGGAGCAGTGTTGTGTTAACTACTGAGGTGTTCAGAATCTAGATGATCTTTAACTAACCTCTAGTGCTTGCACAGTTTCAGATTCCAGGGAGCAGTAGGGTTAACTACTGAGGTGTTCAGAATCTAGATGATCTTTAACTAACCTCTAGTGCTTGCACAGTTTCAGATTCCAAGGAGCAGTATTGTGTTAACTACTGAGGTGTTCAGAATCTAGGTGATCTTTAACTAACCTCTAGTAATATCCACACACTGCCCCACCTACCACCCACCACAACTACTTGACTTTCCAACCACCATGACTACCTAGTACAACACCACCAATCCGTCTCCTATCCCTTCCCACACAAACCACAAAGCTCACCCATTAGGTAACATCCCCACACCACACCATCTACCACCCACCACAACAACTTGACTTTCCAACCACCATGACTACCTAGTACAACACCACCAAACCGTCTCCTATCCCATCCCACACAAACCACCAAGCTCACCCATTAGGTAACATCCACACACTGCACCACCTACCACCCACCACAACAACAACTTGACTTCCCAACCACCATGACTACCTAGTACAACACCACCAAACCGTCTCCTATCCCTTCCCACACAAACCACAAAGCTCACCCATTAGGTAACATCCACACACTGCACCACCTACCACCCACCACAACAACAACTTGACTTTCCAACCACCATGACTACCTAGTACAACACCACCAATCCGTCTCCTATCCCTTCCCACACAAACCACAAAGCTCACCCATTAGGTAACATCCCAACACCACACCAACTACCACCCACCACAACAACTTGACTTTCCAACCACAAAAACTATCTACCATAACACCACCAACACGTCTCCTATCCCTTCCCACACAAATCACCAAGCTCACCCATTAGGTAATATCCACACACCACACCACCTACCACCCACCACAACTTGACTTTCCAACCACCATGACTACCTAGTACAACACCACCAATCCGTCTCCTATCCCTTCCCACACAAACCACCAAGCTCACCCATTAGGTAACATCCCAACACCACACCAACTACCACCCACCACAACAACTTGACTTTCCAACCACCATAACTATCTACCATAACACCACCAACACGTTTCCTATCCCTTCCCACACAAACCACCAAGGTCACCCACCTAACATCCCCACACCACACCACCTACCACCCACCACAACAACTTTACTTTCCAACCACCATGACTACCTAGTACAACACCACCAACTATATATACTGGCATAACTATAAGTTACTAATTTTGGGATGTACATGAATGGAATGATTGGATGTTAGTTCTGATGTTAATCACCTTTTCTTCTTTAGGATTGTACTAGTACTAGTATGTATGCACACTGGATAACCTTTGCAACAAGATTTTCTTTTCAAACCTTCAGGTGGAAAAAGTAATTGAGGAAGATGTTCCCCGGTTGTACAATTATCCGACAGAAACAACATCAGAAGTACCGAATGAGTATGAGCGGCATCTGCTCTTCTTGAAGGAAAGAAACTTGAGAAGAGCAGAGCAATGTCCCACCTGAACACCGCTGTAAGTATTACTGTACTGTCACTTCATAACTGTTTGTCAGAAATGCCTATTTGCAGGGTATGAAACTCCCAAACATTACAGCCAGACCACAGGGCTGGTTAGATGTAAAACTTGCCAGCCCTGACCAAAACTTACCTGCCTGCAAATAATTTAGGTTTGACAAGCGACATGGTTTATCATCCAATTAAACCTTCATAATTTATTTTTACGAGTGAATTAAAACTGATATATGATGATTATCTTCATATACATGTCTAAATTTTAACCCGACCATCGGGCAGGTGAATTTGAGAATGTGTCAATCTGTGTTGAAAATAACCCGTCCCGGGCAGTAGGGCAGGCAAGTATTTCGGACGCTGCTATTTGTTGGGCATTGAGTCGAAATAAATGTATCAAACACAGTTGTTACATTGTATGTTTCTACATCTGTTCCAAAGTACAATTTGTCTAAGCTCAGCCCCTAACTAATGCCGATATGTTCATATCGTTCAATATTGCGTGCGTTAATTTGTAATGAGAGTATGTAACATGTGACAATGATAGAATGATTTTAATTTCAGGGGTATGCCATATTTGTGCAGGTGATGGAATCAAAATTACTGATCAGGACAAGAGGTCTAAGGTAATGATAGGATACAGTGAAATTAAGAAGAACCGTGTAGTTCATGATGATGGTTGGTGTCAGTAATTAGAAACAAAGTAATTAATAAGGAATGAGCGTTTTGTACATAATTACCAGGTAGAGTTACAGCATGCACTACCAATAAAATATATACTACTCATGTATAGTCATTCATTAATTTGCGTTTTCAGACTGTATGATATAGCAAAAAGAAATTTGGTACTTGCGAATGCTGTACTACAGAGTGGACGTACAAGGTATGTGAATGAAGGTTGTAAGGTACATGTATATAGTAGTTTATACGTGGCTTTAGCTCTCACAAAAGTGCTGTCATTTTATTCCTGTATGTTTCAGGAATGACTATTTTGTGAAGGTGGTGGAATACAATATTTTCTTTCATGTCAGGAAGCATTTCGGAGCGTATAATTCTTGTCTGGGTGAGTGTGTCACACGTGGGTATGTGTTTGTAAGTAAGAGTGAGTGAGTGAGTTTAGTTTTTACGCTGCAAACAGCTATATGGCAGCGGTGTGTAAATAATCGAGTCTGGATCAGACATTTCAGTGATAAACAGCATGAGCATCAATCAACGCAATTGGGATACAATGACATGTGTAAGTAAGCGAGTCTGACCACCCAATCCAGTTAGTTGCCAAGCATGAGCATCATATTTATGATATGTATCATAATCTTACATTTATGAATGCATAAATGTCTCTTATTGTGATATGAAATAAATGGTTTCGTTTGTTATAATGTATCTCATAGTTGTGTTCTCTGTGTGCACTGCATGCATTTGTATGGTTTTGTACGCTTTAAGCACTTTTGCGGTATCACGGCTGCGGAGCAATACCTGAATGAGCTCCATACGAAATACTGACCCTATGTCAGGAATCGAAGTGAGTGAAGTTAGTTTTACGCCGCTAAAAGCAATATTCCAGCAATTTCACGGTGGCCGAATCTTTCCAAAACAGAGTGATGAAGGCACAGTGACTGACCACACAAACACACCTGAGTGAATAAACTACGAGGTTATTAGACAGTTACGAATGAATATACATAAGTCAATAATAGAAATGTTTACAATTGATTATTAGAGCGTGTTCACAATTAGTTATCACAGTACATATATGCGAAGAATATTAGGTAAACATCACATGGAGATTCGTTACGCACGATGCATACTGCATTAATCATGATACACGTTCCAATGTACACGACGTCATGCAATAGTTCACTTACGATCAAACATACTATAGCACATCATGCACTCTGTATTCTGTAATGTATATAGTACATATAGCAGGTTGCTCTATATTACTACACGATACATAGTTATTGCCGTGACCAGGGTGCATTTGTGAAAAAGGTATAATGGGTCTAATATGTAAGTAAAAAGGAATAAATAACAATGACATTGTTTAATTATTTCGGCAAATGTTCCTGCTTGATTGGAAACCACAGTATGACTGAAGTTGATGTTGGGAGTGTCCCCATGTATAAACAGCACAGAGATTTCCAGGCAATTATGCCTTCGATCCAGTCCTTTCCACTATGCAGCAAGCAACCTTCATTATGGGATGTCCTTGATCAATGTCTGCGATCATGTCAGCATCAGCCACAGAACCTCCAACAGTTGGCACACCCACTGCAGGAAGCAATTTAATAC